AGTCGCGATTGGCTCTCTCTGTTCAATGGAATCTATCTGAGCTGTTTCTGATTGAAAGGAATATCCCTGGTTCAATACAAGTTAAGCTCTATTGACAGCATCTGTGACATGCTGTCGATTACCACAGAAAATCATTTCGAATCATCCCCCAATTTTTGAAAATAAACAACTGTGTTTACTGGAATGCACTTGCATTTGAAGTCTGTGTGGTAAAACATTTAAAAGAAAGGGTTTAGATGCAAATTATATATTTTTAAAAACACATTTGAATTTATAAAATGTATAGACGTATATTATTTGAATGTATGAAGTCATCTAAAATACTGTTTTAAGTAGTTGGACTACTTGTCTGGGTGGCTTAACTCCTTGTTATTCATTTCATCAGCACATAAGCCATATTGATTTAGTCTTCTTGTACATGAGAATTTACCAACTTCACACAGGAGTTGTGAATTGAATGTAAATTTAACAAGGTTAGTAAATGATTTTATAACAATAGTCTCATATTTACATGTATTATGTTTAGTTATAGTGACTATACTTTTAAAACGGTGTGTTTTGTAATTTTTATTCTGATGCAACATCTTGCCTCACATTTCTGTTGCAAGTGCATTAATGTACACATGCATTTGTTTGGTCCCATTTTGTATTAGGTATGTCCACAGTAAGTGCATTATATCAAATTATTAAAGATACTAATAAAGTGGGTCTGTTTGTTTTCTCAAACTGATGCACAAGTCCATTTTTTTCTGTTTAAATTGACAGCAGGTCACAGATTCTGTCCATGGAGCTTAAGTTGTACTGAATCTGGAACATTATTGGATATATTGGCAGCAACAGACAGGCTAGTGCTTCCACAGTCCTGTAACTGTCAATGCAGATCACCCAACAACATTCATTATGACAGAGAGGTGTCGTTTGTCACGAGTGCTGGAGGTATAACCTGCCGTGAGTGGTTATGCCAGGCCACATGCCATGCTTATGTTTATGTTTGTATTTATTATAGAAGCTGTCATGTTAAGCGATGACGGGTAAAACAGAACACTCTCCTGCTGTGCTCCATAAAATCAGATGCTTGTTGCAAAGGCCACCGCGGTGGATGTGAAGGTAAACAGGAGGATTGAGCAAACAAAAATCTTAGTGGTTTCTTAGTTATCTGTGGAGTGACACTTCAATGGCGCGCAGTGACCGCTACATACCCGTGTGTAGTGTTTCGTCAAGATGAAATGGTGTTTACAATTCATTTTACTTTACTAATGTGACATTTCTGGGTGAAAAAAGATATTCAGTGATCTTAAATGTTGAGAGGGACATTGTTTCGAATTCATTGGACTGTGTTGATGGGCAGATTGATTCTGAAATATGAATAGTGTTTATGTGTATTATGAAATGTAGATTAAGAAATTTGAACATCATCTATTTTGATTTGATTTTGATCTATCTCACATGTTCTGCTTTAGTGGTTTTCAGCTGGTGCGTTGCAGGTCTTTCTAAAGCGTCATTGGCAGAAAAATAGGCTTATTATGGGAAATTATTTCCCATATTATTTGTTGTGTGTCCAATAATACAGTATTTTGGTGCAAATTCATTAGTCACTACGGAGAAACCAGCCAAATTAGACTGATGCCAGCTTGAACAGGTTGCTTGATATCCTCTCATCCTACGCAAAGTAAAAGAAAATATGACCCAGACTAGATTAAATATGAATATAGAGCATGCAACCATCGAAAGTCACTCATGTTGATAGTTATATTGTTGATGTTAATGTGTATATTGTTGGGCATATGCAATTAGTAATGGATAGATGGATGGATGGATGATAGACTGATAGATGGACGGATAGAGCAGTATATTGTCAGGCCTGTACAATTCAGGATGTATGGATGAATGATTGATAGATTGATGAATGATGGATGGAGCAGTGTATTGTTGGGCTTATGCAATTCATTATGGATGGATTGATGGATGAATGAATGATAGACTATTAGATGGATTTATGGATGAATGGATGAATGATAGATTTATGGATGGATGGATGGATGGATGAATGCATGATAGATTGGATGGATGGAGGAGCAGTATATTGTTGGGTCTATGCAATTTTTGATGGATGAATGATAGATTGGTTGACAGATTTATTGATGAATGGATGAATGATTTGTGGATGGATGGATGATTGATGGATGGATAGAGCAGAATAGTGTTGGGCCTGTGCAGTTCATGACGGATGGATGGATGGGTGGTAGACTGATAGATTGATGGATGGTTGGAGTGAGCAGTGTATTGTTGGGCCTACGCAGTTTAGGGATGGATGGATGAATGAATGAATGAATGGATGATAGACTGATGGATGGATAGATAGATAGATAGATGAATGTATGGACAGATGGATGGATAGATGGATGGATGGATGGATGGATAGGTGGATAGTTTAAATTTGCACAACAAAAAACTAGTGCCGAGTCTCCATTTGGTGTCCAGAGTAAATTCTACCTCGTAAAACAAAACCAGTTCAGAACTGCTGCTGTATTTCACATCAATAGGCTTTGTATTTCCACAAATCACCACTCCTGAGTAGCAATTACATGGAATGGCCTCTTTCTAAAAGTAATTTCCAACTCCAAATGTCGCACTCCGCCATGTCCTGCCCATCAGTCAGAGACCCAGTAGCACAATCAAACGGACGCCTCATGTCTCTGTTTGTATTTTAGTTTTTTTCACCCTGCTGAGGGACCATGTTTGTAATTGCTTCTTTGGAACAGGGGAAGAAAAATAAATAATCATCTCTCAAAGGTAATACTTCCAACACACTTTCTGAACTGATTAATTTCCACTCCAGGCCATTTATTTGACTGCCATAATATAGAAAGCCACAGAGTCCAACCTGTCGTAATGAACAGGAAATGCCTCCATTACCCCAGATCACGAGCGTAAAGCTCAGTGGGAATATATGCGAGCAGAGATGAGCTGACAGATGTGCCGTGTTCCTATGCAGAGAGTCACACATGAAAACATAGAGAGTGAGCGATGATAGTCGCGAGCGGCATTTGATCAACTTCAGCTGCTTTCGTTTAAGCAACGGAGCTCCCGATCGCAAACCGAATGGGAAACGTGTTTGCGCAAAGCATCGGTGCCAAAGTGCATGCTTTGTTGTTAAAGGTAGATTAAGAAAAGTAGGATCTGTCTCATTGAGTGACATGGAGATAATGGTCTCGTTGGTGTGAAGTGACGGGGGTTTAAGACGCTTTAAGTCTAAGACTTAAAAGCACAAATTGAGATGAGATTAATGGTTCACTGACTGTGTATCAGGGAGCAAATGCACTGCCATATCATTCTAGCTGCTAAACGCCGTCTATAAATCATCTGCTCAAGTTGTAATTTTGCACGTCTGCTGGTTTTAGAGGGTCACTTTTTATACTTTTATAATTCTGTTGCAGAAGCACATTAGTGAAATGCATTAAAGTGCATTATACTTTCTAATGTAGAACTATAAGGACCTTTAAAAGACATTCTTTGTGTTCTTCACATGCTGTGCAGATGCATTTATTTGCATTTTCATTCTAGATGACATGCTAAATTCTTCGATTTATGGTGCCATTTCCTAAAATGCAGTGTTTCTGTCACCAAACTGTGACAGAAATCAGAATACAGCAGGTTAGGGTTCACGTCATGTCAGAATGTTTTTTTTTGTAAGGCGTTTGTGTGGATGTATCAGTGATTGTAGCACAAAAAATGACAAATACAGTCTGCTCTGTACTGATGTATGCTTTGTACTACTGTTATACTCTGTTAATAATAATAATTCTGTTAATAATTTTATTCAGCAAGGACACATTAAATTGATCAAAAGCGACAGTGATGACATTTATAATTTTAGAAAAGATTTCTATTTCAAATAAATGCTGTTCTTTTGAAATTTCTATACTGCAAAAAAAAAATCCTGAAAAAATGAACATACTTTCCACAGAAATATGAAGCAGCACAACTGTTTTCAACATGTTTACTGAGCAGAAAATCAGCATATTAGAATGATTTCTGAAGGATCTTGTGACACTGAAGACTGGAGAAATTATGAAGAAAATTCAGCTTTGCATCACAGAAATGAATATATTTTAAAATAAATTTAAATAGAAAACTATTGGTTTAAATTTGTAGTAATTTTTCATAATATTACTGTTTTTACAGAATTAAAGAAAACACAGCCTTGGTGAGCAATAAAGACTTCCTTTAAAAACATTAAATATATCCCAATCTATTATACTGTATTTATTAAAATCAAATAAAATCATTTTCACATACTGTTATATATTTTAGTATGCAGAATACTTTACATAGCATGCAGTATATATTCTATTCTATTCTATTCTACATAATAAACTGCAAATAAATAAAAACATTATTTTGCATTCTTTGAATTATTCACTTCAGAATACAGCATATACTGTTGTGCCAGGCAGTATTTAGAGTGACTACTTCATGATAATCATAACTGATTAATTTTGATCAGCTGATTGTCACAAATATCAGTCTGAAACAGGCAGCGCAGTGCGTCTGAAGTCGCCTGAGAAGTGTAATGGAATTTTATGATGGTGGCAGGTGCTCAGAGCGGATATGTGCTGGTTTAAATCAAAGATAAGCTAGCTTAACATATCATATCCAGACATGTGTCTCTGAGGATTAGAAATGTGTCAAAGCAGGAATATTAGTCCAACGCCAGATGTCTGAGAAATAAATAAGGACTGTTGACTGCATTCATGACACAACTTCTTCTTTTTTTTTTTTTTTATAGATAAGTATCTTTTTTATTGCAGTAGGATGTGGCCTTTTTGTTTCTTGCACAAATTAATTTTTTATTCATTGTTTTCATTATTTTTTGATGAATACAGGCTTTGCAACTCTCTAATTAGCGGGTTATAACCAGCAGAAATCAGCAATGCGTTAAGAATAAAATTGCCCTTTACTACGTCTGATTTTGGCATCTTCGCTTTGTCTCTCTTCAGAACTACAAAGCAGTTCTTGTGGGAATCCAGGAGTTCCTGCCAAAGGAATCCTGAATGGAACAGGCTTCAATGTGGGAGACAGAATCCGGTACCACTGTGTGGCTGGATATACCCTGGACGGCCACGCACAGCTGACCTGTGTCACCAGCACGTCTAATATAGCGGTGTGGGATTTTCCTATTCCCATCTGCAGAGGTAAGAAGTGGCAGATAGACGCTTGGGGAACTGTGCTAAGCAGCTCATTTTTATTTTTTGAATGCTTGGGTTCTTATTAAAAGGAGACCATCTTTGCTTTTGTAGGGCGTCATAGGGCATTAATGCATTTGGACACGCTTAAAATATCAAAGCAATTGGTTTCTGGAAACAAATGATGCACAAGCTCTTCTCAGAACTAATTTCACTTTTTTTTATTTGTAATGACATTTATCCGACTAGGGCTGAGGGATATAACTAAAACAATATTGATATTTTTCATCCCTTTCATAGTATGCAATATATCTCAATAATTATGTATAAGCTCTGAAAATAAATGATTTATTTTTTTTTTGCTTTGCAAAAAGGACCATCATTTCAATAAATCAGCCATATTTGCCAAATAGATTCAAAAGGACATGTTTTTGTCTAACTTTTGTGCTGTGATGAAAATCCTTTACCTAATTTGGTGTTCCTGGTCAAAAATGGCCGACCTTTTTAACATTGCTTTTAACATTGCTAGTAGCATTGCTCAGTCAGCTCCAAAAAGAAATACAAAACTTGTGCTAACTGAAAGAATACAAGTTGATAAAAATATTGAATCCAATATTTGGTAATAATTTGGCATAACAAGAAATGTATAATTTATATTTTTTGTAGGTCTGTCATTTTTGACCAGGAAGGTGGGGAAAAAAACAAACAAACAAAAGATCAATTAAAAATTTTAGGGAAGTTGTTAAACTGAGTGAGCAAAGTCAGTAAATTTTAGTCTAATGTGATAACATTAACTAGCATTTTTGGGAAAAAGAAAATCCTCTTCAACGTGGAGGTTAACTGAACTGATAATTTTTTTATTAAATAATGTTATATGAATAATTGTATTTTAGGTGCATGAATATAATAATACCTAATAGTAGACAACAATAGTTATGCATATATTTTTACCTTTTAATGTGTAAAAAAAACTAATCAAAAACAAATCAGTGAATCAGAGTTTTGAAAAACAGTTTGAACCAGGGCCGGTTCTTGACAGCTATAGAAGGGTGGGCTGGCAGATATGGGGGTGGGCATTTTTTCTGTTGCGGGGAGGGGGGGTGTTATATTGCAAGGGGGAAAAGTCTAGATATTTATACTGTTGATATTGCTATATTAACTATATCAACTATAGGCTGTTATATGTACACTGGAAAAAAAAGCTTTCATGGGCAGCCTAGAATATCATGCACTTTCACAACAAAATAAACTTTTTTTTCTTTATTGAATAATACTAATAAAAAACACCTCTCTGTTCTCTTTCTCTGTATTATTGTTTCTACACTGCTGATTTTTTCAACTAACTTTTTTATTTATACCAAACAAGGCCATAATCATATCTAGAACATTAGGGGGACTATTGTTTTGAGGAAAATATTAAGACCAGATCACTATGGTAATGGTAAAGGAACTAAATAAATAATACGATTTTTTGTAAAGTAATCAATCTGAACTGCAAATATTTTTATTTTAAAATATGCACCCATTCAATTTTAGTTGTAGCCTATTCCTAATATGTTGAAACGCAAGACAGAAAATGCTATTGTCGTCACAATAATTATGAATTACATGAATCACGTAAATGACGGCGGAATTTGACAAAAGAAAAAAAAAAAGGCGAATACTTTATAATACAGTCGAGCCGACTGTTGCTATAGTTAGTAATTCTTACATTCAACATTAACAGCAAGTCAAAACTGAACTGGGGTGCGTTTCCCGTACAATGACGTAACTCGTTAATTAACCACCATAGTACGATGCATTGTTGTTGAAATGAACTAGCTAGTTACGACTGCTTCCCGAACACGGTCGCATCTCCGTCGTTTGAACCACATTAGTTCAACAACATAGGGCCATTGTTAATGACGTCACACGCATGTGGTGGAGGAATAACTTCTGCTATTTAACCGATTAGACATCTCTAAGATGCTGCTGTATTGAACATGGCACCTGATGACTAATTTACTATTTTTTGTTCCCTGTCATTTTGCTTTATTTGATGTTTGATTCATCGCGGGTTTCCTCTTACGTCATACTCCGGGGATTCCTTAGGTATTTGTGCACATGCGAACTCTTCAAAAACGGCGCTTTTAGAGTACGCGCTAACATACATAGATTAAAATGCATTTATATTTAGATAGAATGGAATATATAGATTGCACTGCATGTTAGCTTACTTATTGTGCCCAATAGCATATTTATTTAAGTCCATTTCCCTAGCTAACAAGAAACTATGCTTCTAACCACAGGTCGAGAGCTGTAGTTCCAACCACGTAAGTTTGCGGCGCTGTTTGCGAATGTTCGTTTGAACTATGGTTTCGGGAAACACCGAATCGTTGAACTATTGTAGGTAACGACGGAACTTGCGATCATAGTTGGCTAACAATGCTTTTGGGAAACGCACCCCTGTATAGCCTACATGCATTTTAGACGCTTATATTATGCTCGTGCCCCGTCTATGCAATGAACGCACGTTATTGAATGATGTTTCTTTTCTTTTCTTTTAGAACATTAAAACTGCTCAGGTAATTTCAGTGGTAGGCTATGATACATATTCGTGTATTAAACTCCTTGTAACTCGCAAACTCCCTGTGATAGCGCGCAAATATTTCTGTCCGTTTTCGCTCGTTGTCAGCCTCTGCTTTTCTGCAGCAGACTGAAGCCTCCGCGTGAATTCAGCGCGCCTTGCATTCAGCTAATAAAAGAAAAATGCTGCAATTTTCTGGAGTTATTTTATGATTGTTTGGGCAGTCTCAAGCTATAGCTTAAACTTCTCAAAATACAGTCCGCTTCAGATTAGTTTTAATCTATGCACAAAAAATTAACGTAATCTTTATCTAATTCTGATTGGGTGGGCAAGACAGTCATTTGGGTGGGCTCA